CACTGGATAAAAAAGGAGGAAGAAGCAAGAATAGAAGAGAAGGGGAGAGAAAGGAGAAGACGGGAAAGGAGGAAAGAAGAGGAGACGCAAGACCAAGGAGAAAGACGGGAAAAGGAAGGAAGGGAGAGGAAGACGCAAGAACAGAAGAGAAAGGGGAAAGACCAAGGAAGAAAGACGGGAAAGGAGGAAGGAAGAGAGGAAGACGCAAAGAATAGAAAGAGAAAGGGAAAGACCAAGGAGAAAGACAGGAAAGGGGGAAGGAAGAGAGAAGAGAGAGAGACATCGGGACGGCAAAGGATGGGGTCCTGCTACAAAGAGGGGTGAGAGCTCTTAGGGCGCGTGTTGCCTGGGGGCAGCCCACGGGAGGAGGAGGAGAAGGAGGGAGGGAGAGGAGTGGGTGATGAGAAGGAGGGAGAAGGGGAGAAAGAGGAAGAGAAGAAAGAGGGAGAAGAGGAGAAGGATGAGAAGGAGGGAGAAGGAGGGAGAAGGAAGAAGAGGAGGAGAGAGAGAGAGAGTGATGAGAAGGAGGAGAAGGGAGAAAGAGGAAGAGGAGGAGGAGAGACAGAGAGAAGTGTGAGATGGGATGGAGGGAGAAGGGGAGAAGGATGAGGAGAAGAGGGAGGGCGAGAGCGGAGTGGGTGATGAGAAGGAGGGAGAAGGGGAGGAAGAGGAGGAGAGAGAAAGAGAGAAGTGGGTGATGAGAAGGAGGGAGAAGGGGAGAAAGAGGAAGAGGAGGAGAGAGAGAGAGAAGTGGGTGATGAGAAGGAGGGAGAAGGGGAGGAAGAGGAGGAGGAGGAGGAGAAGAGGAGAAGTGGGAGATGGGATGGAGGGAGAAGGAGTGAAAGAGGGAGAAGAGGAGGAGAAGAAAAAGGAGTTGGAGATGAGAAGGAGGGAGAAGAAGGGGAGAAAGAGGAAAAGGAAAAAAAGAGGAGAGGTGCAATAAACGGAGAAAAGAGGGAGCGAGGAATGGAAGGAGAAAAAGCATGAAAAGTAGTCGGAAGAGGAGAGGAGAGGAAAGAAAAGGATGGGAAGGTGTAGAAGGAGAGGAAAAGCGGTGCAATAGGAGGTAGAAAAAGAGCAGGTAGAAGAGTACGATAAAGAACGAGAGGGCGAGAGGGAAAAGAAAGAGAGGTGCAGGTACAGGGAAAGAAGAAGTAGGAGGAAAGAGGTAGAGGAAGGGGGATGGAAGAAGGAAGGGATTGCAAGATAGAGAAAGAGAGAGAGAGAGAGAGAGAGAGAGAGAGAAACGGGAGAGCACTGATGAGGAGGACATGCATCTGGTTAGCATCTCTGTTTACACGCACGGGTTCTCACTAGGTTCTCGCGAGTGTCTCATCCACACGCTTATTACACAAGACATCTTAAGGACTCTCCTTTCCCTATCCCCCTCCCTCTCCCCCCCCTTCACGTCTCCCCCACCCCCTCCCCCTTCCAAAGCCGGCATTCAGAGTTAGGTCCGTCTGATATTCGTTGCCGCCAAGGTGCTGGATTGATGATGCTGTCGGCTGTGATCCTTGAGAATATCTTTGGGAGGAATTAGTGTTGGTTCAGTTTCTGTTTGTTTTGTTTTTGTTTGCTCTTTTTATGGGGGGGGGTTCTGTGGTGTCTTTGTTTGTCTGTCTGTCTCTCCTGCTTTCTCTTCCCTCTCTCTGTTTCTTTCTCTCTCCTCTATCTCCTCTCTATCCGTCTCTTTCTCTCTCCTCTCTCTCTTCTCTCTCTCTCTCTCTCTCTCTTCTCTCTCTCTCTCTCTCTCCTCTCTTCTCTCTCTCTCTCTCTCTCTCTCTCTCTTTCTCTCTCTCTTGTCTCTCTCTCTCCCTTTCTCCCTCACTCTCTCTCTCTCCTCCCTCCTTCTCTCTCCCTTCCTTCCTTCCTTCTTTCCCTCTCCATCTCTCCCCTTATATTCTCTCCCCTTTCTTCTTCATTGCGATCTTCATCAAACGTTCCAAGAAATCACATTATTTGAAGGGAAAACTTTCCTTCGCCCGAAATCAAGGAACAGTGTTTCCCTTGTGGCTCAGACTTTCATAATCGACGTAAAGATTTTCAGGGAGATGTTAAAAGGATTTCGACAGATTATGGGATAGATAGATAGATAAATAGAGTAGATGAATGGGTAGATAGATGTATAGAGTAGGTGAATAGGCAGATAGATTGATAGAGTAGATGAATAGGCAGACAGCAAGGTAGATGTATTGTAGAGTAGATGAATAGGTAGATAGACACATAGATAGATAGTTAGAGTAGATGAATAGGTAGATAAACACATAGATAGATAGAGTAGATGAATAGGTAGACAGCCAGGTAGATAGACAGAGTAGATGCACAGGTAGACAGACATATAGACTAATAGAGTAGATAGATAGTATATCACATATCTATGGATGTGGCAGGTGCTGTCGTATGTATATGATTTTCTCAGTAGGAAACCCTCTTGCCAGTAAATGGTGGACAATATTGTTATTTCCTATAATAATAATATTCCCTATCAATGTAGCGCAGCTGATATCACATCTATAATCATCATTACCTTCAATATCATCAATGTATTTTGGGCTGTTGGTACTAATATTATTATGTATTATAATTAGAATTTTTACAATTATTACTCCTATTAATAATATCATTATTTTTGATGATATTACTGTTACTGTCATTGTTACTATTATTATCATTATTATTGACATTAGCATTATATGCGATAGCAATGTTAATGATATTGATAATTATTATTATTATTATATCATTTTTATTAATCATCATTATTATCATAATCAATATTATTATCATTACTATTATCATTATCATTGTTATCGCTCATTATTATTTTCATTATTTTCATTATTATCATTATTATTGTTATTATTGTTATTATTATTATTATATTATTATTATTATTTATTCATTTATTATTATTATTATCATCATCATCATTATTATTATCATTATTATTATCATCATTATCATCCTTATTTTATTATTAATATTATTATTATCATTATCTTTATTATCACCATTATCATTATCACCAGCATTATAACAATTATCATCTTCGTTGTCGTTGTTATCATTATCCTTATCATTAGAATTACTGTTATATACGCTTTTGGTTGAATACAGTAATATTATAAAATATTATATATATGCAGAATATATATAATATATATATTATATATATATAGAGAGAGAGAGAAGAGAGAGAGAGAGAGAGAGAGAGAAGAAGAGAGAGAGAGAGAGAGAGAGAGAGAGAGAGAGAGAGAGAGGAGAGGAGACAGAGAGAGAGAGAGAGAGAGATTTTGTATGTATGCATATATATAATATATATTATATATATATATATATTATATATATATATATATATATATATATATATATATATATATATATATATATATATATATAAATGGAAATAACATTTGTAGAGCTTCTCTTTTGTGGGTTATGCAACATCAGGTTTTTTTTCTGTTTCTTAAAGAATATGAAGCCATTCCATTTTTATTTCCTTTATAATGGAAATAACATTTTGTAGATTTTCTCTTTTGCGGGTAGTGCAACAATATATATTTTCTCTCTCTTTTTCTTTTTGTGTGTGTGTGTTTCTTAAAGAATATGAAACCATTCCAATTTCTCTTTTGAAATAATGGAAATAGCATTTTTGTAGATTTTTTCTCCTATGGCGGCGTAATGTGTCATCGTCTCTCTTCTCTCTCTCTCTCTTCTCTCTCTTCTCTCTCTCCTCTCTCTCTCTCTCTCATCGCTCTCTCTCTCTTCTCTCTCTATCTCTCTCCATCTCTCTCTTTACTCGCTTTGACTAGATATTTTTATTTCTTCTCTCACTTTCTTTCTATCCATTTCTTTCTATCCATCTTTACTTTCTCTCTACCTCTATCTATCTTGCTCTCTCTCTCTCTATTTCTTGTCTTCTCTCTCGCTCTCTCCTCTCTCTCTCTCTCTCTTCTCTCTTCTCTCTCTCTCTCTCTCTCTCTCTCTCTCTCTCTCTCTCTCTCTCTCTCTCGTTAAAAAATCTCTCTCTCTCTCTCTCATCTTCTTTATCGCTTTGACTAGATATTTTTATTTCACGTTTTCATTGTGTTTCATATTACTTCATTTAGCGCCAGTGATATTCCATCTTTTGGAATTCCCTCTCCTTGTCTCTCGGTTTCTTTAGCTTCAAGTTCTTGTCTCGTTGCCTCTTTCTCACTTCATTATCATTAATATTGTTATTACTATTATATTATATTATTATTATATTTTATTTATTTTATATTATTAATATTATTATTATTATTATTTATTATATTAACTATCATCACCATTATTTTTTGGTTATTATTATTATAATTATTATTATTATTATTAATATTATTATTATTATTACCCATCATTCACATTATTTTTGTTTTATTATTATTATTATTAATTTTATTATTATTATTATTTATTATTTTATTATTATTATTATTATATTAATCATTATTATTATATTATTATCCATCAAATTTTTTATTATTATTAATTATTATATCATTATTTATTATGATGATATGATGATGATTATCATGATGATTATCGATGATGATATGGATTATTATTATATATTATTTATTATCTAATCATTATTATTATCAATATCATTATTATTATTGCCATTATTGTTATTTTATCTTATCATAATCTTTATCATCAGATTTTGTTATTATTATCATTATTGTTATTATTATCATCATCATTATTACCATTATTACTATCACTATTATGATTATCATTATCATTATTGTTATTATCATTATTGTATAATTATTATTACCATTACTTTAACAATTACTGACATATTCTTTATCAGTATCCTTACCATTCCTATCATCACACTTAACAACAAACATTACTATGCATAACAAAATACACCTACCATCCTTATCCTCAATGACTCAACTATAACAACATCGATAACAATTCCCCTCAACGCTTCCTGTCACCTGACCCCCTTTTTCCCCTCATTCCAGTCGGCTACAGCATGGACCACATCCGACTGTCATGGCATGCTGGAGACCGGTCGGTTGTCATTGAAAGCGATGTGTCCCTGCCTCAGTTCCGTGTGCTTGGTTACAACAGGAAGACTATTATTTCTTCGACATCTACGGGTGAGTACAGTGTTGTGCGTTGTGCTGTTGTTCTTCTTGTTATGGATTTTTTTTCTTGTTATTCTGTTTATTGTTTTGTTTTTTTCTTCTTCTTCTTCATCTTCTTCCTTATTGTTCTTCTTGTTCTTGTTTGTTTTTTGATGTTCTTATATATTTTTTTCGAGCTCTTCCTCCTATTACTGTTATTATTAGTTGTGATTGTGTCTGAAGTATATTTTTTTCTTGTATCTCTGAGGTGAGTATTGTATACACTTTATTTTTTTTTTCATTTCAAGTATAGACCTCTTCATCCTTTTGGGGGGGGAGGCTAGCATATAAAATGTATTCAGGTTGCCTTTTTCTTTTTTGATTTCTCTGAATTGGTTTACATTTCTTCAATTCCCCTTTCTCTCTTTTTTTTCTTTTTTTACTGTTATTTATTTTTGTTCTTTTTCTATTGTTTTTAATTGATATTATCTGCAATCTTGATATTGTTCTAGAATCGTCTATACATATTCTCGCTTGAGGAATCATTATGTGTCCATTAAGTATGAGGACATGAATAATCTATTTAATATATATATATATATAATATATATATATATATATTATATATATATATATATATATATATATATATATATATATATATATATATATAATATATATATATATATATATATATATATATATATATAACGAAGAACCAGATTAAAGCCTTCTGTATTTGAAAATTCCCATATTTCTTCCACCATTCATTCCACACTCACGTTCTATTGCGCTGAGTGAAAGTCAGTGGATGTGAACGACCGTTGGGTTTTCTTCTTGACCTACTTTTTGTATTTCCCGTTTTTTTTTTTTCTCTCTCTTTTTTCTTTTTTTTCGTTCACTGGGCGAAAGTAAATGAATATGCTTCCGTGGCTTTAAATCTATCGCGTCTTTGATGGCACAAAGGATTTTCTCTTTTTTCTCTCAAGATGGATAAGACGAGGGCGGAATGTGTGTGTGTGTGCATTAGTGTTTTGCGTGTCCAGATATACATATGTGTGTGCGGGTTCATATATGTGTGTGTGGTGTTGTTTTTTTCTGTAATATATATATATATATATATATAATATATATTATATATATATATATATATTATATATATAATACATACATATATATATATTATTATATATAATATATTATATATATATAAATATATATATATTGTATATCTATCTATCTATCTATATATCTATCTATATACTCTATCTATCTATATCTATCTATCTATCTATCTATCTATAGTATAATATATTTATATATATATATATATTATATATATTATATATATATTTATATTATATATAATTATTATATATATATATAATATTATCATCTAGCCTCGCGTCATCACGTAATCCCCCACACTCCGTCACTCCATCGGCCCCATCTCTTTCTTTCACTCCATCACCTCACCTTCCCAAGTTTCTGTCCGTCTCTCCATCATGTTAATTTCCTCCATTTCTTTTATTCCCCCATCACTCCTTCGCTTCTATTCCTCGTTCCATCATCCTCTCCTTTCATCTTCCTTCTTCCATTCATTCCATCTTCCTCGCCTCATCACCTTTTTCCTTCTCTGTCTCCTTCTTCTTCTTGTTTTCTTTCCTGTGTCTTCCTCCTCCTGCTTCCTTCCTCTTTTTCATCTCTCCTTCCCCCATATTCCATCTCATCCTGTACCTTTTCTTCCTACTCCATCACCTGTCTCCCTCATTCCGTCACCACCGCTGCCGTTTCCATCTGTCTCCATCACTCTCACTCTGTTCTCTAACCCCATCTTCATTCCTCACCTCCTCTCCTCTCCCCCTTCACCTCTCTCCCTCACTACTCCATCTCCATAGTCTCCCCTTTTCTTCCTTACTCTGTCATCTCCACCTCTAAATTTTCCCTCACTCCATTTCTTCTTATTTCCATCTCTTCCCTCACCCCTATCCCCTCCTCAACATCTCTCCCTAACTCACTCCTCGCCATCACCTCGCTCCACAATCCCCACTCCCTCTCTCACCCAACATCTCCTCGCAGCATCCCCCCGCCATCCTCCCATCCTCCATCTCTTACTCACCACCACCTCCCTCACTTCACCCCTCTCACCACCCCCACCACCATCTCCCTCGCTCCCTCCTCTCTCCACCACCATCTCCCTCGCTCCCTCCTCTCTCCACCCACCATCTCCTCGCGCATCCTCCCATCTCCCTCTCTTCTCCACACCACCTTCCCTCATCACCACCACCACCACCATCTCCCCCGCTCCCTCCCTCACTCCACCACCATCTCCCTCGCTCCCTCCCTCTCTCCACCACCATCTCCCTCGCAGCATCCGCCATCCTCCCATCTCCCTCTCTTACTCCACCACCACCTCCCTCACTTCACCACCCCCACCACCATCTCCCTCGCTCCCCCTTCTCCACACCATCTCCCTCGCAGCACCGCCATCCTCCCATCTCCCTCTCTTACTCCACCACCACTCCCTCCTTCACCACCCCATCTCCTCGCTCCTCCTCTCTCCACCACCATTCCCGCGCTCCGCCATCCTCCCATCTCCCTCTCTTACTCCACCACCACCTCCTCCTCACCACCCACCACCATCTCCTCGCTCCTCCTCACTCCACCACCATCTCCCTCGCTCCCTCCCTCCCTCCACCACCACTCCAGCATCCGCGCATCTCCCTCTCTTACTCCACCACCACCTCCCTCACTTCCACCCACCACCATCATCCTCCGCTCCCTCTCTCTCATCTCCTCACATCCGCCATCCTCCATTCCCTCCTCTTACTCCACGCCCTCCCTCCTCACCACCCCCACCCCATCACTCCCTCGCTCCCTCCCGTCTCTCACCATCTCCCTCGCTCCCCCTCTCTCCAACCACCTTCCTCCAGCATCCCATCTCTCCCATCTCCCTCTCTTACTCCACCACCACCTCCCTCACTTCACCACCCCCACCACCATCTCCCTCGCTCCCCTCCCCACCACCATCTCCCTCGCAGCATCCGCCATCCTCCCATCTCCCTGGACCAGCCCGCTCGCCAGAATCACAGCTTCTTCTCTTGTCATTCCTTCAATATCACAATCCCGTCTCTTTTTTCTAATAAAATCCCCCGGGGACAATCCGCTTCGCTTCGTTCCTTTCTCTCTCTTTTCTCCCCTTTTTTCTATCCTCTCTCCTTCTCTCTCGTTCTTTCTCTCTCTGTCTATCTATTTGTCTGTTTTTCTTTTTTTTTTTTTATCTATCTTACTTTCTCTCTATCCTCTATCTCTCTCTCTCTCTCTCTCTCTCACTCTCTCTCTCTCTCTCTCTCTCTCTCTCTCTCTCTCTCTCTCTCTCTCTCTCTCTCTCTCTCTCTCTCTCTCTCTCTCTCTCTCTCTCTCTCTCTCTCTCTCTCTCTCTCTCTTTCGTTTTTTATTTATTTTCCTCCTTCACCCCTTTCTTAAAGATATCGATGTCTTTGTCTCCATCTTTATTTCGTTTCTCTCCCCTTTTGTGGTCATCTGTCTTTTTCTCTCCCTTGTTTTATCTCTTCTTTCCCCTCTTTTCCCCTTCTTTAACCCTCTTTTCCCCTCCTTTGCTACCCTTTTACTTCTCTTATACCTTCTCCTTTCTTTACTTTTTTTTCTCTTCTTTTTCTTCTTTCTTTCTCTTATTTTCCTTCTTGTTAATCCCTTTTTTACTTTTCTTTTATCCCTCTTTCATCCCTCTTTGACGTTTTTTTACCTCTTGTTTACCTAAATTTCTGTTTCTTATTCCTCTCCTAATCTTCTTTCTCTGATTTCCCTTTCCTTTCTTTCTATATCCTACCTTCCCTTTGAATCATCGCTTTTCTCCTTTTTCTGTCTTCTTCGTCTCTCTCATCTTTCTCCCTCCCTTTCGCATCCCCCCCCCCCTCAAGATACCCTTCCAATACGTTTATTACCCCCCCCCCCCAAGGACATTATTATGATATATCTTTCTTATTCCTCTCTCTTCCCCGTCTCTCTCTCTCTATCTATCTATCTGTCTGTCTGTCTGTCTGTATTATGTATATGTATGTCGCTTTATCTCTCTATCTTCTATCTATTTATCTATCTATCTATCTATCTTCTATCTCTCTACTATCTATCTATCTATCTATCTATCATCTATCTATCTCCTCCCTCTCCTTCTCCCTCTCCTTCTCCTCTCCCTTTCTTCCTTTCACCTTCTCCCTTCCTCTCCCTCTCCCTCCCACTCCTTTCCTCTCCCTCACTCCCTCACCCTCTCACCCTCCCCCTCACCCTCACCCACTACCCCTCCCCTCCTCCTTTCCTTCCATCCCTCTCCCACCTCCCTCCCTTTCCTCTTGTCTCCTCCCTCTCACCTCTTCCCTTCCTCCACCTCTCCGTTCCTCCCACCTTATCCATTCCTCCAATTCTCTCCATTCTCCCTCCACTTCGTTCCTCCACTTCTCCGTTCCTACCCCATGCAAAGCCCAAGAGTTCAGGCTTCATTCATTTACGTGTGTGTGGCAGGTGGCTCCAGGGACAAGATCAGTGATTTGGTGGAAAAGCGGGAGGGAGGACCGTCCCACGCCATTGGTCGGAAGAGGGGTGGGGGGGGGGGGCTCGGGAAGGGAGGGAGGGGGAGGAAGGGACGGAGGGATAAGCGGGAGGGAGGGAGGGAGGGAGTGATAGGAGGGCACGCTCGCAAGGAGGGGAAGAGTAAATACGGTATGTGGAGCTGGGGGAAAGGCGGGGGAGGGGGTGGCGGGAAAGAATGAGGCGTGCGAGAGGAAATAGCCGGTAAGCGGGCGAGATGAAAGATTCTTTTCTTCTTTTTTTTTTCCTTCTTTATCTTCTTTATTTTCTTCTCTTCTTAATCTTCTTCATATTCGCGATTCTTCTTCGTTGACAACTTCTTTCTTCTTCTTATCTTCCTCTCCTCCTCCTTCCTCCTCCTCCCTCATCCCTCTCCCTCCTCCTCCTCCCTCACTCCCCTCATCCCTCCTCTCTCCTCTCCTCCCCTC